CGGGTTCAGGTAAGGACTCGGTTAACAGTTTGGACCTACAGGTTCTGGTCATTACAGTATCATTTAGTTGTTTTTCGCATTTTAGATTTCAAGTTAATGACTCTAAGAATCTATGTCTTGTCGTGTTGTATTGGAGGTTCCAATTATGCTAGGTTATATCATTTATTTGTTTTCGCATTTTAGATTTCAAGTTGATAACTTTGATAATCTATATCTTGCCACGCCGTATTGAAAGTTCCAATTACGATAAATTATATCTTTAGTTGTTTTACGCACCTTAGATTTAAAGTTGATAACTTTGATAATCAATATCTTGTTACGTTATATAGTATGCTCATTTGTTGTTTATATACATAAATATTGTGACTTATGCTAGAAATGCTTTAAGGTAACTTAGGATGATCCCTGAGTCTCACTTTTGACATAGACGTTAGGTGGAATGAACAACATGGATTAATTCATATCAACTTGCAAAACTTGTAAAACATTAGGTTTATGCATGTTCATCTTCCTACAAGTAACTTTAGTTGCTCAACCTCGTTGTTGGGATATTTTTCAGGTATCGGAATCATGTTTCGGGATACATAATACTCCTTGGTTGTCTTGTAAATTTGAAGTCCTTCATTCATGCACTTGTTAGCATGAAATGCTTTAGTCTTTGTTTTTATATGTCAAAACATGTATATTCGGTTTTAATTATGCAATTGGAATGTATTTGAGGTATATGTAATGAGGCCAATGGCCATTTGCTTTTAAGTTGTTCTTTAAAGTACTTTTGGTTTTATGTGTTATTATTGAAAAATAAAGAAATTGGAAATCTTAAGTTGTTATTTAAAATTCGGTTGGTGAAAAGTGTGCCAAAACATACTCATTAGGACTCTTTTAACATGCATGAAGTGTGGCCAATGGCCAAATAGTTTTTTGAAAACATCTATGTAGTTTTGGTTTCAAGTTTTCCTTTAAAGTGTCACTTTAGGCAAATTTGAGGTTTAATAGGTTGAATTTTGCATCGGGCATATTTAGAGGTTACAGACCATTCCCGCACGTCTTAAAACACTAATTACGTTTACGTGCACAATCGTTTTAGCACACAACCTCATATTTGGTCATTTGAACACTTGAAGCAATTCAATTTTTAGGTTTTTCTTCAAAACTGAGCCAAAGGGTATTTTGGGGATTACACATCAAAATAAAATAAAAAATTAAAAAATTTGACATAGTCAGGTAGAAAACATGATTTTAAGGGGGCTTTCTTCTTTGTGTTTTCCCAAAAACAATCATTTAAGGGTCCAAAAAGCTCACTGTTCTAAAAAAAAAAATCAGAAATTGGGTTGCTGTCAACACCTGCTGTCAAGCAGGTGTCATGCGCGCGCAAGGGGGGCACGCGCATGGGGCCTGCTGGGCTGTTCCCTCGGCCACGACGACGCTCATTTTTATTTTCACCCTTTCTCCGGATTCTGAATCAAGTGATTCTTGAGTCTAACTTTGTTAATTTTTCGTCGTCTATCCAATAGTGTGCTCGGTAAAACCCAAATCTTTCTAAAAATTACCATTTTGCCCCTAAGGCTAAACTTGTCCTTTTTTTTTTTTCAAAGCGTCGATTCCGCTTTGCTTTCTTTTGGGTTTCGTGACTTCATGGGAAGTCACGTTTGTGTCTTAGGAATGATGTACATTTCTAGAGACATTGTTTTGTGTGAAAAGACCATTTTGCCCTTGGGGGCATACTTGGTCTATTTTTTATCTTTTACTTCCGCATTCATTCTCGTTAAGTTCCGTGGCCTCATGGAAGGTCACTTTAGTGTCTTAGAGATGTATTGGATCTCTAGAGATTTGGTTTCTATTTTCGCTTCCGCATTCGGGATCCATTATCGAGTCAAACTTCGGGTCATCATACCGGGGTCCTCCTCGTTTCTCGACTATATATTCTAAAACGTTGGGCCACAGCTTATAGATAAATATAATATCAAGTATTTGATTGAAATGGTGGTATATTAACTGGGGATGATGTTAAGTTTGGTCCAACTTTAAGCCCAAATTTGTGGTCTGTAATTAAAAATGACCAATTGACTATGGGTCTTAGTTTGGGTTGGGACGTGGAATGCTTTTATGGTTACTGGGTCTTTGTCCCATATCTTATATTATGGTAGCTTTGTTTGGTGTTTGTCATATACCTTTGCCTAGTGTTGTTTGTTTGGTTATGCTTTTAGATGTCGTATTGCTGTTTCTTATTACTAGAGAATATATATATATATATATAGAACATTTTACCTTTGAAAAAAAAGTGGGGTCAGGCAAGGGTCAGCCCATAATGGGTTTACCATTAATACTTATGTTAAAAAAGTAAAATTAAATAAATAATAATAATAACAAACAAACAAAGAAGTAAATCCTAGTTTAATAAATAATTATTAATGGAACAGTTTAAAAAAAAAAAATCCGGAGGTATTTGAATTTGAAACACTAGCTTTTTGTCTATAGTTAAATGTTATGTAGATTTTCTTAAATAAATATATTGGTAAAACTTTTTTATAATTTAGATACATATTTTAAAAGTAGTGTGTGTTGGTAACTTGGTACAGGAAAAAACCTATGATGAGGTGCACCTTATAACAGTTGTGCTCTCATGAAAATTATATGTTAATATTTTGTATTAAGGTTAATTACATTCATATTTTTTGAGATTTGTGGATAAACAGACCAAAGTTAGCCTAACACTCCCTCCCCGCCACTCTGACACATAATAAAATGACTAAAATATCCTTTATCTTGTTAATTGACCCATTGAAATGTTACCATTACTAATTTAACCTTTTTTCTTTATCTTCTTCCCTCCTCTATGCTCTCAACCTCTTACCGCCGCCACCCCAACAACAGCCACCACATCTGACCACCGATCACCACCATAACCGTATCTCTCTTTCTTTTTTTGAATGGTCACCATAACCGTATCTTAGTTAGTTAAGACTGCACCGAGTATTTTCCCTCTCCTCTCTTTTCCTTCTCTCATATGTACACACACAAGCAACCAGCAAAAACCTCCTTTTTCAAACTGGGCTTTTATTTCTACTTTATTTTCAATTAATTATCAGTTATAGGGCAAGAATTCCTTCCCAATAGAGGGATCGATGCCGGTCTGTGGTGAGAGAGAGGCGTGGGAGATAGCCGTGGCTAGTGACGGTGGTTTTGAGAGGAGGACCACCATCCAAAATTGACTCTTCTTCACTTGTTCTTGTAACGGGCGATACACCTCAGGAATAATCATTCGACGATGCGACGTAGACCTGTTATTGTTAATAGAAGTCGTTTTACGTATTGATCGCATAAGAATTGAGCTTTTGGGGCTCTGCTCTTCAGATAGTGAAACAAAATCTATGGTTGTTGCATAAGGCTGTTATGGTGGGGTGACGGTGATTGCAGTGTTACTTGCCATTGAATATATATATATATATATATATATATATATATATATATATATATTGTGTGTGTATATATGTATATATAAATTAAAACCCACCATTATGAGGAATTAAATCCATCACTGAAACCCACCATTGAACTGATATATATGTATATATTGTGTATGTCAGTATGTGTGTGTGTATATATTATATATATATATATATATTCATTGAAACCATATACTGAAAAAAAAAAAAAAACTCTATATATAGATGTGTTACATTGAACTAATATATATATATATATATATATATATATATATATATATATCATTGAAAATTTGAAATCACAGAATGGAAAAAATGTTAAGGGGTTTTTTAGTCATTTAAGTACTATGAAATTTTAGACTAAGAATTATTATTTTATTGAAGAGCAATAAAGTCTTTTCCCACTTTTTTAGGGACTGTTTGGTTGTAATTTCTGACCGGGAGTGAGTGTTCAAAAAGAAGTTAACTTTCATCTCATTATCAATAAAATAAACTCCAAAGGTGTGAGTGTAATTAACCCATGTAATAAACTTCATTTACAGATATTATATAAATTCATTTACAGAAAGGTTATACCTGACAATCAAACTTATATATTCTCTTTCTTTTAATTGAATTTATTTCTTAAAAAGTTAAAATGAAGTTACCCTCATCATAGAAATCACGAACTCTCTTTGTTCATCGCTAGATTTAGAACAATCTCAAAATTTGTGGAAAAAAAAAATATATATATTGCTAATCTTTTCATCGGCTTCTCCCGCCCAGCCCTAATTGTTACCAACAAAGATCACCCCTTTGAGAAAGGCTACTGGGCCAGGGGTTATGTCAATGTTTTGTAAGTAGTTCAATGAGTATTGCCAAAGAATCAAAGGCTTCCCCAGTATATTCTCATTCGTGGCGCAAACTTTATGACACTTCACTACATAAGTTTTGAAATTTTACTATACTAACCATATTTCACCATTGCTGTAGTAAAATTTTATCATTAAATTAGTGACATTTAAAATGTAAAGCCATATAATTTTGATAAGTGACGCGAGTGACACGTTTTTACACGAATTAATTTGATTAAATTAGTAAAATTTAAAATGTAAAGCAATATAATTTTGATAAGTAAGACACGTGACACTTTTAAATTTGTAATAGGAGTGGATAAGTGGATATAGATTGCTTAGAAAAGGGACCTCTTGATAGTATTCCATTCGTCCAAAAATAATTAGGTACTTTGAGAGAGCATCCAACTATTTTGAAACAGCGGTAATATTATTTATTGTTTGGACTCAAAAATGTGTAGATTGAAATTTGAAAGTAGGGCTTTTTAAACTAAGGCCTGTTTAAAAATAATAATTACAAATAAATAAACAAAAATAAAAACTAAAAAGAGCCCATTAGAATGCCATAAAATCCCAAGACCCACCCATGAAAAAAGTGGAAATACTGGGACTTGTGGAGATTTGGAGGTAAAGCAAGAAAGGAAACCACAGCCATACATTGAGTGAGAGGCTATCAATAATCTCATCCTCTTCAAATTATGTCTCTCCCCCATCTCATCATCTCCCTTAAAACTTCCATCTCAAACTTGAAGCCCACATTTTTCTACCTCTTTTATCAACCACTGCTGCTGCTGCAAACTGACCCTTGTGGTGGGTAGTGTCACCAGAGCTGAGCCATGGCCTCGGCTGGCCTCTCCATAGTCAATTCATCCTTATTCCAGGTCATTATTGTACATCTATCATACCATTTATGTTGTCGGTTATTTCATTATATATATATATAAGCATTGTGTTTAGGTATCTTGATTATCAGAATGACTTCTAAAATTAGTTTTATGTAATGGGTGATGCTAGAATTTGATGGAGTAGTTGTGCAAGTGTAGGGAAACAGTAAAGGATTCTCCGAATTCGCCGGCCTCCGGAGCAGCTCTTCTACCTTTCTCCCACTTTCTCGCAAATCCCATGGTGATTTACTCTCTCTTGTTGCCTTCCAGACCTCTGCTGTGAGTGTTTCAATTCTCAGTCTTTAATAAGACTTAATTCTGATATATAGTACAAAGAATGTGTGCGTGTGTGTGTGTGTTATCACCCATTTTCATCCAGGAAGCTAGCTGGCAGCACTTTACAATTTCTTAGCCTCTTAGGTGAAGTTTGAACAAACTGAAAATTAAGGATTGAAAATATGTTTTAAGTGGTAACTGGAAATTGTGAATTTTGGTATACTTTGTGAATTTTGAGTGTTTAGCGTTTAATGATAAGTGAAGTGCTTAGCGTAAAATTTTACCCTTTTCGTCACTTAATCTGCTTAGAATTAAATGCAGAATTATATTATCAAAGAATACTTTACCAATCACAAAGCTCGCTGGTACTCATTTGTTCTTAGTAGTTGTTGCTGAGACAACTAACAATTTGAAACCACAGCTATTTCAGTAATAGACTATTAACAAAGTGATTGCAGTGATAAAAATTTGAAACCATAGCTATTTTGCTGGCATGACATTTGAAAGTGAGGAATGATATTGAGCTGTTTCATTCCATGAATTTCTTTATTATTTTGAAATGAACGACCTATTCAGCTAGTTAAGCACGTCAATTTCACAGCTGAACATTTTTTTTTTCTCTCTTTTATATATAATTTTTTGTCAAGTTCACAAAGGAATTCAATGAAAGAATTAACTTAGGAAAATGCTATCATATGTAATATTGCTACTATACGACCGTGCCTCCTTAGTTGTTGGATTGGATGGAGGGATAGGAAGGTAGCAAGAGCACCCCATAGTAAACATACCGTATAACTAAAGCACAAAAATGCAAGAGTTGAATGTTCAGATTGGATAGAATAAAAAATGGATCCTAGATTACTAATACATTAGCTGATGTCTCAAATAAAATAGTTTTATCTCTGCTTTCCTTTTGGCACAAAAAATTGATGATTGTATGTGGTCGTGGTGATTGATAGATTGGGGTGAGTAGGAGGGGTGAGGGAAGCAGCGGCAACAGGACAGGCGTCGTGGAAGCAAAGCTGAAGGTGGCAATAAATGGTTTCGGGAGAATTGGAAGGAACTTCTTGAGGTGTTGGCACGGCAGGAAGGACTCCGCTCTTGATGTCATTGCCATCAATGACACTGGAGGCGTCAAGCAGGCCTCCCACCTTCTCAAGTATGATTCCACACTAGGCATATTCGACGCGGATGTCAAGCCTATTGGCGACGATGTCATTTCTGTCGATGGCAAGCTTATCAAAGTCGTGTCTAGCCGCAATCCCCTCAACCTCCCCTGGAAGTAATTGAATTACATTTCTATTGCTTGTGTATTACAAAATAAATGTTTAGAGATACATATTAACAGTGCTTGTTTCTTTGATGAATTGTGTTATGTTGTAGAGAGATGGAGATCGATCTGGTGATCGAAGGGACAGGGGTGTTTGTGGACCGTGATGGTGCTGGGAAGCACATAGAGGCAGGGGCCAAGAAAGTGCTCATCACAGCTCCAGGGAAAGGTGACATACCCACCTATGTGGTGGGTGTCAATGCCGATGCCTATGACCCGGCCGAGCCCATCATCAGCAATGCCTCTTGTACCACAAATTGCCTTGCCCCCTTTGTCAAGGTCCTTGACCAAAAATTTGGTAATACATCTCCCTCCTTCCCAGTCCCACCTTCTCTTCGTACTTATATTTGCATTTCTATTTCTTCAATTTTGTTTCTATCTGTTTGGTAGTTGTTTTGAACATTTTCAAGAGAAATCAACCAAGTTTTAAGCTTAAGTGGCAAACTGTTTGATGAATTTATTACCTTGATACTTTGTGAGGACTCAGTCCAATACACAATTACAGTTTGGGATTCTTTCTGCTTGGAATGCTCTAATCCGTGACATCTAATCAAGAGTTCAAATCATTCAGTTCGGAAACTGTTCTTGCTGGTGAACCAATCCATTTAAGCATGAAAAATTATTAAACCATATGATTCACAAATGGCCACTTGTTGCTTTAAGAATTCTAAGCCCATGAGGATCTAAGAGCTTTACTTCAGGAGGCCTTCTACACAAGGTCCAACTACTTGATATTTCATTCTATTTCAATTTTATCTGTCTTTCCAATATCATAGTTTATTCATTTTTGCTGTTCAAATTTCAGGCTCTCTTGTCTATTTGAGAGTGTCATTAAAGGTTTACAAATAAACTCTACAGAAAGATATATAGTGATGCAACCTTTCTCTACTCGTTTCACCACGAAAACACGTAGATGACGTGAACATTGTCTTCTTATTGGTTAGTTTCTTGCATCAAGGTTGTCTCGATAATTGATCACCCAAACGCAAATTTATTTTTTGATATCATGTTTTTCATTATTTGTGATACATAGAGAGATTGCCTGAACTTGCTGTTGTGAGTTTTTGTCCCGCACTTGTTGATTATTTATAAGGTTAAATAGGGTACAATTGTAATGTGCTTTCATTAAGATTTTTCCAAGATGCTTATTTTGTTCATTGTGATTTTTCCAAGAGATTCATTTGTTCATATGCACGTTACAGCTTTATGATCACAGATATTTGTCAATGGATTTGAAATTTCATAACTAGGAAATTTTTGAGTTAGTGCTGACATGGGATAAATGGAATATGACATGCTAGAAATCATAAAGGGTACCATGACAACCACTCATTCCTATACCGGAGACCAGAGGCTTCTTGATGCAAGCCACAGGGACCTTAGACGTGCACGAGCAGCAGCTCTCAACATAGTCCCGACGTCAACTGGTGCTGCAAAGGCGGTGGCTCTTGTCCTTCCCAGCCTTAAAGGAAAACTCAATGGCATTGCCCTCCGTGTGCCCACACCTAACGTCTCAGTGGTGGACCTCGTTGTTCAGGTTGCCAAGAAAACTTTTGCAGAAGAAGTGAATGGTGCATTCAGGGATGCTTCTGCAAATGAGCTGAAGGGGATCCTATCTGTGTGTGATGAGCCACTTGTTTCCGTGGACTTCAGATGCAGCGATGTGTCCTCAACGGTTGACTCTTCACTAACCATGGTCATGGGCGACGACATGGTTAAGGTGATTGCTTGGTATGACAATGAATGGGGTTACTCACAGAGAGTGGTTGATCTGGCTGATATTGTTGCAAACAATTGGAAGTGATCTTTGATTCTCCCATTTTCTTTTGTAGATGTATATTTTTGTTGGAATTTGCAACGAGGATGTAAAAACATTTTCCATCTTTTTTGAAATCTCAGCTTTTGAACAGGTACTAAGAGGTCTAAATTATTCTTATGTCTAAAACTGTTGAAGTTGTAGTAACGCTTAATTATAAGATAGACCTGTTCTTTACTCGTGTCTCACTGGTTTTATATTAAAACCATATAGGAGGTGAGACAAGTAGACCCCTATCACTATATTTATTAATGTCTGGATGGGAGCTTGACCTCTCTTGGGGGTTAAAAATCTTCAAAAGAGAACCAAAAGTTACTAATCTAATATTAGCATATTCTATCATTGTTCGGAGGTCGTCGGGTGTACCGTATCCACCTTAGGAATTGATTATCACAGTCGTGAATTTTTGTCAATCACCCATATATATAGTCTAAAATGTACGGATACCCAACTTTTTACTGCACAATTCGGTAAAGATAAACTTTTTACTGTACAATTCGGTAAAGATAAATGATTCGATTATCCCTACACCTTTCTTTTTTATTAAAATTTTATTAAAAAAGTACTCCCGGAATTGGTGGCAGTACGTGCAGTTCAGACTAGCGCGAACCCTATGAAATCGCCCGTTTTTGTTTAGAATTGGCGTCAAGAACTTGCCTATTCAGATATGAAGAAGAGTAACTTCCACTGTACTGGGCCAAAGCGATATCACTTTATCCACATAAAGACTCAAATTGAATTAAATAGACCCTTTTAACTCACCGGTGAAGTAACTTTATGGTATGGAGTAAGTCATCAGTTTAAATCTGATGGGCTTCTACTTTGTTTTTTTGGGCGAATTTGCCCCTTAACAAATTATTCTATCATACATTTATTTATTTTATCTCTCCTCTCTCCACGCTAATAGCTTGGATAACGTAATATAGGACATGTAAATAATAGTTGAGATCCAAGAATACTAAGCTATATTCACTTAATTTATGATTTATTTTTATTTATTCAATTTTATTATTAGTTTTTTTTTTTTTTTTTTTTTTTTTTTTTTTGGTCACGATTCATTCATGTAATTGAACAAAACATTTGCATATAAAAATTATTATGTTTCCTTTGATTTCTTACCATCTTAATAATAAGAATTTTAAGAAAAAAAAAAAACAAAAAAAAAAGCCATCTTAATAATAAGAGTGAGTAAACTTTTCAGAAATTACCCCATATACTTCGTCCACATAGTATGTAATTTTCGAGTCGTACGTGGTGGAATCAAAACAATTTTTGAGTAATGTGGAATCAAAACAATATATGATGAGATAATAAATGCATTTCTCTCAAACTAAATGACTTAAATGTCCTTTATAATTAGATTCTTGTGAATTGAATAGAGGGCAACGATATCCTTTCACATTAAAAGCGGTCATATTTTTAAATCTTTAACTTGAATACATCAACTACAACAATTTCGTCTCAAAAAGTGACTTTGGGGTATTTCATGTTCTCGAAGTAAGTAAAACAATTTTTAAAAAATTCAAATATGAAAAAGAAATTATGTTGCTTTTTATTTGCCAATTTTAGTCCACTTACCTTGCAGTAGCATAATTCAATTAAGGAAAAGAAATAATTGAACTAAGGAAACATAGCAAATTATTAATTATTTTTCTTAAAATAATTAACTGTTATAATGGCTACTAAAGATCTAATGCACTGAAGCAGTTCATGAGCTGCTTAATTTTTTTATCTTCTATTCCAACGTCATGGTGGATTTTCTCTCCTATGTGCGGTTGTATTCAATTTTATTTTATTAACTGTACATAGCTTAAATATGATTTTATTGGCTTTCCATTTTTTGTTTTTTAGGTAATTTTTCTTTGCTGATTTACATACCTTGCTTGACGGACAAAGGGAAAAGAGAGAAAATAAATAAATTGTCTGAAGAATAATCTGTTAAGGGATAATTTCGTCCGAAAAATTCCCTCAAATTAACAATCACTTAAACGGATATAAGTTAAAAATACCCCTTTGGGATCGTTGAGGGGAGTTTTGGGCCAAAAATATTCTTAAGGGGTGTTTTTCGCAACTTGGAAATAGTCGAGGGGAATTTTTTGCAATTCGCTCTTTTTTATTATAAAACTTCAGCCTTCTAAATATAAGTCAAGTGCAAAAAATACCATATACTATACTTACAATGCATATTGCACCCCTCACGGGCAAAAAATACCCCTAAATTATGACATTTGTACAAATAGGTCCTCTTTATACATTTAAGATCAAATTAAACTAAAATGCCCCTTATTGACACATTTTATAAAATATATAAAAAATAATAATAATAATATTTTTGTGAAATGACTAAAAAGGGTACCCAAAGCAACCTCACTTGAAGTTAAATAAAAATAAATAAAAACCAAACCAAAACCCATCTTATTCAACTCCAATACAGTGAGGAGAAAGAAAAAAAGCGCTGCGGTTCTTTGAAAAGGCACTGTGATTGCAAGGGATGACCTCCTCAAGTAAGGGATATGAATGGTAGTACGCTGATATGGAAACTGGCGGGGTTCAAGGTTGTGTGCCTGTTGATTTTGTGGAACACACGTAAGTGGATAAATGGAAGGTATGTTTACGGTTGTAGTGTAGGGCTTTGATGCAACTCCAATATAGTGAGGAGAAAACAATATAAAAAAATCGCAAAACCCAATTACAAATCATCACCATCCTCCGCGCCGTCGACATTCAGTGCACCGTCGGTTTAGTCCTTCATTCATCCTTGTCGCCGTCGATTCATCTTTGGTCGTCGTTGAACTCACTACCATCGTTGGAGTCGCGACTATTACATTTACTACTCGCTGCCACTGGGTAAGCTCGGTGTTTTATTGCCGGTTCCGTCTGCTTCATCGCCGTTCATCATAGTCAATAGTCCATGCTAGCCGATAAGAACAAGTCATCCATGCTTACCGATAAGAACAGTCCCGCGGTGGTAAGTTCAATCCTGCTGCTCCTTGCATTGCCGTCGTCTTGTCTTGACTCAGTTCATTGATGTCAATTCATGCTCGACTATTCAATCCGCTCTTATTCGAAACCCAACTCTCTAATTCTTCCGCCCAAACCTGGACCCACGGCGAGAACGACGGTGAACTGTTGTGGCAGAAATGCAAAAAACAACATTGTTCGAGGAGTAAACATAAGCAATCACGAAGAATAAAAACAATCACACAAAAGAACACAAGATATATATGGTTCACCCAAAGATTAGGGCTACGTCCATGGAGCGCACCAAACAATTCCACTATGGAAAAAAAATGAAGAATTACAATATAGTATTTTCTCTCAATCTCTCTCAACTGTTCTCTCCTGTGTTGGCACAAATTAATCAATCATACAATACGTATGATAATCCTCTCATCATCAAGTCATGCCCTAAAATCTTTTTAGGGTTGATATATATAGTCCCAAACATTGGAATATAACTTGTCCCACAAGAAGTTGTCTTTTGTAGAGTCCAAAACTAATAAGGAAATCACTTTATGTAGCTTCCCAAGAGAGTTAAACTGGCCTAGCTCCTACTTGAACTAGTTTGTGATGTTTCTGTTTTTAACTATTTTCCATTTTTGAGAATTTTTAAATTTTTCAGGGGCATTTTCGTCTTTTCTCGTTTTGCGTACCGGACATCGTGGAGTGTGCCGGTTGTGTCCGATAGTTGATTGGGGCATTTCATTGAGTTCATGACTCTTTGAAATGCAAGGGTTATCATTTCAACATTTTTCAATTTTCCGGACCGAACTGTCTCGGGTGAAACCGTTACCAGAGTTGTTGTGTACGGGAGTTATGTCTCAGGTCATTTGCATACCATGCATTATTATTTTTGTGCCTAAGTAAATTATTTAAGTACTAAAGTGTGTGGCTATGATATAATTGAAGCATATATATATATTAGTGGTAGAAATTAAAAAGAAAAGAAAAGAAAAAAATATTTTTAAGTGGGGCCCACCATCTACTTTAATTTTGAGGCCAAGAGACCACATTGGTCTCATTCTCTCTCACTGTCCCGACCATCTCTCTCTTTCTTTCTTTTTTTGCCTTTTTTCTTTTTCTTTTCTTCTAAACTTCAATCTTTGATTTCTTTCTCAATTTTGAGAATTTTTGGGTACCGTTTGCGGCAAATCGAAGAGCTTGTTGAGACCTACGCTTGGATAGGAGCAATTCACCATTTTGGCCATCTTTGAATTTTCAAAATTAGGGCTTTGATTTTGAGTTGTGGGGGTTTTCATCTCCATTGAGGTAGGGGTCTCTAATACATGGTTCTTCTTATGCTTTTGTGAATTTAATTCTTATAAATTGTTGAATTACATGTTTAATTAGTATAAGTTCTTGAAAATTGTTTAAATGCCATGTATGAATTTGTGACAAGGTGTTATTTGATATATTGTGCTTAAACATGCTTGTGTGAAATGAAATTTTGTGATTTATATGCTTGATATGTTAGAGAAATGTGAAATGAAAGCATAAGTTGTGTATTTTAATGATTTAATTATAAAAGCATATGTAAACTCTTATGATGGAATTGATGAATTGAAGCATGAAGCATTCATGCATTCATTGGGAAAAAAGGGGAGGGGGCGCGGGGGGGGGGAAGTGTTTTAAAACAAACGAAATTGTTTTGGGAAAATGTTTTATAAAGGTGTTTGCGAAAACCGGACTCCTAGGAGGCGCCTAGTGGTCCGTGATGTTAGTGTAGTCTAGAAGAGAGTGTGGTTGAACTAACTAGGCTGGATACGACACCTTAGAGGTGCCTTGTGGTCGTGGATAGTTAGTCAATCCTCCTTTCGTGACGCCTTGGAGGTGCCTTGGGTCGAATTACACTAACGGTTTGGATGTTGAAATGGAAATGTTTCGGATATGGAGAGCGACATTTGCATGACATTGCACTTCACTAGAATATATGGTGTACGTGTTTGGGGGATAATTGTTATATACTTGTCGTTGTAGTTGTTGCCATGCACCCCCTATGTTATGATCCCGTTTTCTTTTACCTATTCCTGACGTGGATTCACGGGCTCATAAGAAGTGTGTCTTAGACACTTCCTACTGAGGGTTTAGCTCACCCCA